GCCTACAGACCAACGGAAAGAAGTAGTATAACTGAAGCCCTGTCAGGATTAAAGCTAAGAGAATACCTGTGCCTTCCCAGATGGGGACATAGTTCAAGTGATAGAGCACTGCCTGGCAAGCAGGAGACCCAGAGTTCAACCCCCAGTACAACAAAAAAAGAAACAAAAAAAAGGAGGAATGTAATCACTACCAAATGGTAGCCCCGCAGGGAAGGAACAAGAAGGATAACCATCCAGGTATCTCTGGAGCTTTCTTCTTTTACCCACTGATTTGTAGGTCCATCCCACTGGGTGAACCCAATCCAGGAGGCAAGAATATGTAGGTGATATGGCCCATAATGGTGAGGGTGGGGAAAATATGCAGAACATCACCAATCATAACACCAACCCCTAATCCGTACTCCTGGATAGTAAATAAATCATGGATTAAAGAAGAAATCAGAATTAAAAACTGTGAGACAAGCTACTCATGAGGTACAGCCAAAGCAGTAGTTACATGAAGATGTATAGTCTTATAAAATACATAAAAGCAGAAATTTAAAAAATTTAAAAATCACTACAAATTCAATTGAGCTGATAAAACCAATAGCCAGTTCTTTGAAAAGTCTGATAAGTAAAAACTCTGGCAAACCTATACAAGATAAAATGAGAAGGCACAAATAAACATAGTATGTAATAAGATCTAATAGTGTTATAAATGAGACTAAAATAACCACTAAGATCAGTTTATACTAATAATTTTGAAAACCTAGCCATAAAGCAATTTGTTGGAAAAATTTAATAAATGACATTTACTGAATGCTTATAATGTGCCAGGTACTCATCTAAGTAATTCATTAAATATTAAGTTATTTAATACTCACAACCATTCTATGAGATAACTATTGTTGCTTCTATTTACTATTTAGAAAATTGAGGCTTAGACAAGTTATGTAACTTGCCCAAAGTCCCAGTAACTAAAAAATAGCTAAGCTAGGATTTCTAAGGCTGTCCAGGTCTAGAACACATAGCTTTATATTACAGTTTTTTGGAATAAAAGAAATTATCAAAATATAATATTGTAACTGAGCAATATCATAAAAGAAATTGAACTGACAGATAATGTCTACTCCCCTTCTCCCCAGCAAAGGCCTAGATCCTTCAATGACCAACTTTTACTTAGCTATACACTCAAGGAAGAGATAATTCCTATTTTGTAAAATCAGTACTGCCAGAAAGAGATGGGAGGTTGCCTGATTTTTATTGAGAAGGCAGGCAATAGGAGGCTGCGGGTATAGCTCAGTAGAAGACATGCACCAAAAAAAAGAAAAGAAAAAAAAAAAAAAGAGGCAAGTAACAAATGTTCATGGATTAGAAGATTCAAAATTAAAAAGACATCAAGTTTCCCCAAATTAATCTATAGATTCAAAGCAATCCCTATCAAAACCTTAGGAGACTCATCTTAAAATTCATAGGGAAATGCAATGTATCAAGAATAGTCAAAGGCACAATAATGAAAATAGGATATAAACATTAAAAAACAACAACAACAAAGATAATTGGGTATTGTGGCCACTGCCTGTAATCTTAGTACTCAGAAGGCTGAGAAAGGAGGATCTCAAGTTTGAGGCCAGCCTGGGCTGCACAGGGAGACCTTGTCTCAAAACAAAACAAAATAAAGAAAGAAAGAAAGAAGGAAGGAAAAAAGGTACTTTGTTTTATGACAAAGGTAACACACATTTCAGCAGGAAAAGGAATGTCTTCAATAAATGGTGCCAGGTGACCTGGATATCCATGTGAGGAAAAAAATATGATACTTGATACCATATAAAAATCAGTTCTAGGAGGATGGCAGATCTAAATGCAAAATGTCAAATAACCTTTCAGAGAAAACACCTTTGTGACCTTGAGGTCACAAAGTAAATATTCCTTGAATCACTAACCATAAAAGGGGGGGGAAGTTAACTAATAAATTTAAGAGCTTCTGTTCTTTGAAATTATCAAGAAAATGCAGAAGCCAATACATCAGAGAGATCTGGGGTGCATATGTCCAATTAAGGACTTGTAGCCAGTGCATGTAAAGAATTTCTTTAAATCAGTAATAGAAAAATATACAATTGGTCTGTAAACATACTATTAAACACCTTAACTTCCTTATCAAGGAAATACACATTAAAACCACAAGAAGATACCAGGACTAGCCACCAGAATAATAAAAGAAGACTGAAATTATCAAGTGCTGGTAAGGATGTGGAGCTAGGAGAGCCCTCATATACAGCAGGCAAAAGTATAAAGTTAGCATTAGCCACATGGAAATATTTGACAGTATCTGTGGAGGCAAATATATGTATTTCCTGTGACTTAGTAATTCCACTTTTAAGTGCATACTCAACAGAAATACATTTAACAAAACACATACTAAAAGGTAGTTGTTTCAAGGAAGAACTACCAAATGCTTATCTTCAGAAGAACGTATTTAAAAATACTCATAGGCAATGGAATACTTGGCTGAAATAAAATGCTGGGATGACAATAAGGATGAATCTCACAAGTACTGGCGGAGGGCGTGTGTGCCCAGCACAAACACAAAGAGCATGCAAATAGAACCAAATAGAGTGTAAACTATACACAAAACTATCTAGGTTAGTTATTACAAGCCTGAATAATGGTTATCTTGGGGGTGGAGAGTACAGACTAAAGAGCAGCAGGAAGGAGCTTCTAATGCCAGTGATGTTGTTTCTTGATCTGGATGCTGGTTACATGGGTGTGTTCAACATGTGAACACAAGTCAATTGTGCACAGTCCTGTGTATACTATACTGTAATAAAAATTAACATGTATGATAAAGACTGCAGACTTAGTAATATATGAAGAACTTATGTAAATCAATTTTAAAGAAACTAGACTAGGGGTATAGTTCAAGGGTAAAGCACTTACTTCAAAGGCCCTATGTTCAATCTCCAGCACCAAAAAGGTGACAAAAAAAGAAAAGCTAGCGTCCAAAAGAGAATGGGCAAACAAAAAGGAAGAGAAATGCACAATGAAATAAAAATGACTAATAAATGGAAAAAAAAAAAGTAAATTACAATAACATGCAATTATTGCCAGGCATGGTGGCACAGGTACTCAGGAGGTTGAGGCTAAAGGATGGCAAGTTCTAGACCAGATGGATTACATAACAAGACCCTGTTTCAATAACCCCAAACCCTCAGGGGAATAAAAAGTCTTCAAAGAGTGATGAATGGAAAAAGATTCATGATAAATTTAAGTGAAAAATACTACTCTTCCTAGTATATCTTTTGTATTAAAATATCACACTCAAACACACATCTGAATTAAAAAAAAAAACCCTGTAAGAGCATATACAATACTGTTAAGAGTGGTCATCTTTGCAAATTGCTGGTGGCTCATGCCTGTAAATCCTAGTTACTTGGGAGACTGAAATCAGGAGGATCAAGGTTTGAGGCCAGCTCTGGCATATAGTTCCGTAGACTTTATCTCCAAAATAATCAGATCAAAATGGACTGGAAGTGTATCTAAAGTGACAAAATGCCTGTTTTGCAAGCATGAAACCCTGAGTTCAAACCCCAGTATCACCAAAAAGAAAAACAAAGTGTCTACCTTTGGGTGGTAGGAAAATGGACAATTTAAATTTTTTGGCTTATTTTCTAAAACAAAATGGTTTTTGAGCACTTATTACTATTATATTCAGAATCAAAGAAAATAATAGAGTAAAAAATTACAGCCATCCTGTTTCCATTACTCTAAACATTTAAGTAATACAGATTTGTCTCTTCTTCAACTCCCACATTCAACCTATAGCCATTTCCTTGATTTTACCTTAGAAATGCCTGTCCAAGCCATTCATTAATTTCTCCAGATCCAGACTATTATAGTAAAATGGTCACATTTCCCATTACTTCTGTATTGTAGCCACATCAAACCAGTTTACATAGCAACCGTCCACACTGCAATCACTAAAAGTGCACACCAGGTACGTCCACACCTCCCATCCTTTTGGCGTGCTTTTGGCATCCTCAAAACTCTTTTCCTGTAATACACGTTCTCCCTTCCATCCTAATTCGATTGATTCACAGTTCAAGATTTAGGTGGCAAGAACAGACAGCCATTTCCAAATCAATCCTCCAATGAAAGTTGCTCCAGATTTCAACACTGTACTATACCTCGCCCTTCCGTTGTATAGTATGGGCCATTTCTTTCTTTTTCCTTTTTTAATTTCTTAAAATCTAGTTGGATCAGTGAAAAGTAAAGCGTACATATGCAATACATACATACAGGGGGCGTTTTGACCCGTCTAATGGGTAAAAAACGCCATCAAAGACACTCGCTTGATTTTTTAAAAATTCAAGATGGCAGAGAACGTCTTAAAATAGTCCTACACAAAAGCACTCCCATCCGGGGCTGCTATTCGGAAGAACTGGCTACACCTAGCGCCAAGAGCAAAGGACAAAAGAATGGAACCTGAATGCTGAGATTCCCAGGCCCTAAGCATCACCCATCGCAGGTCCCACGCCCGTGGACTTTAATCCCTAGTAGAAAAAACAAGAACCTGAAGCCTTCACTCCCAAGACCACACCTGGCTGGTGACCGTGACCTGAGGCACTTCTGGATCCTGATGCCAAACTACTCCGGAAGAAACAGGGGGAGGTTAAGATGTTTTAGTGAGTGTCTAAGACGCACCTTTCGACCCCGCCCCGCCAAGGTGCGGTCCGGGTGGGGCAGCCACCCCGGGGAAGGAATGAACAAGGCTCCCACCAAGGGCTGGGCAACCAGGCTCCAAATGGGAATTCGGGGCGGGCCTGAGGCCGAGGCCAGCGCGGCTAGGGCCCCTGGGGCTACACCTGTCAGGCTGCAACCGGTACTAGGCCCCGAAATCGCCGAGGTTCGGTGGTCCAGGCCTGCGGGAGCGCGTCAGCCTCGGGATCTCCTACCTTCCTTGCTTTCCCTTTTCGTCTTTCTTAAACAAAGGCAATCCACACTCACCGCCATCTTCCCCTTACCTCAAAAACTACCTCTTCGTCAAACTCCGGTGTCATCCTTCTCCGCCATGCCACCCACCTCAGCACGATGGGAAATGAAGGCAGGAGAGGCAGGCAGCACCGAGCTTCTGCTCCTGCAGGTCCCGCGGGTCTTGACGACTACATTTCCCGGCATGCCTAGCGGCCCACGCCCCTTTCTAGGCTGCTTATTGGAGCAGAGGGCGAGCGTGTGGGCGGGAAGGGCGGGAGCGGGAAGAAGTTCCAGCTCTCTGATTGGAGAAAGCTGAGGCTTTTGTCTGCCTTTTACAGCCGTGGATCGCAGGGGGCGCCTGGAGCACAGATTTCCCCCCCGCCCCCCTCTGGCGTGGGGCGCGCGCCCGCGGAGCCGCTGTAAGCTCAGCGGGGCGGCGCTCGCGCTCGCTCGCCAGCCGCTTGGAGGCTCGCGCCCGGGGAAGCGCCGGGTCGCTGGAGCAGGCTGCATCCTTTGTGCGGCGCTCCGGCTGCGCCGCGCGGAGCCACGGAACGGAATGTGGGCGCTGCGGAGTCTTTTTTCTTCAGCCCAAACTCTGGAAACAATGGACTGAAAGTGGGGAACATGGACTGAGGAGCCCGAACGAGGAAGCGAACTGCGCGGGGCAATCATGACTTCTGCCGCCGGTAAGTGGCCGCGCTCGCGCCGCTGGAAAGTTTGTAGCGAGCGCCGGTAAGGCTTGGGCTTGGCGAACAACTTTCTCCGCCGGGACAGGCGAGTCGTGTGGCCTCCACCTTACCGAGTACCTCGGCCAGTGCGGGGCAGGTGGGGTTCGGGGCCGGGTTTGCGTGTCCCTTCCTGCCGAGAGGACTGGCGGATCCCTGGGGACCTCCCTTTACCGGGACACCTGGGCAGGGGAGCTGTGCGCCAGGTGAAACGCAGCATGGAGAGCATTCGCTCATCTCTCCAAGTTGAGCGACTTTGCCTTTGAGAATCGTGTAGATTCCCATGTTAAGATAGCAATTATTCTAGGAACAAGCTGCGCTCTCCGCGAGTTAACGCCATCACTAGGCAGAGTCGCCTTAAATTTAACATGGACTGGAAACTCTGACCATTATTAAAGAGGCTTAAACATTGTTACTCATGGGTTTGTGGTTTCCTTTCTTTCTTTCCTTTTTTTTCCCACTGTTACCTGAGTGGTAGAAAAGAAGGTTTGCCGAAAGCAATTTTTTGCTCATCTTCACCCAATTTCTTTTGGAATTTTTTTTTCCTGTTTCTACCTGATTTAGTTTAAACAAAGCCGTGTTTTCTGTCTGCCTGCTATAGACATTCTAATGACAAAGCCTTCACTTACCTTTGTGTGGATTTTAAGCAGTTCTGGACTTGTATTGCTGAACATTCTTAAGGAAAAATTTTTATTTTCCAAAATAATGACCTAAGTGGTGTTGTAGTCGCTTTATGTTAACATTCGATAATTTTAAAACCAGAGCTTAAATTTTTTTTTTTGTATTGCTGAGGATCGAACCCAGGGCCCAGCACATGCTAAGCAAGCACTCTACCACTGAGATACACCAGAAACCTCTAAAGTATTGTTTCTTAGTGTTTTGTTCATGTTGAAAGAAACTTTGATTAGAAATTTTATAGTAAAATAGTTTAAAGCTTCCCCTCAAAGTAACTTCTAGCAGTTACATTTTCGTTGCTTTTCTTGGCATTTGTTTAAAATTCCTGCAACATTAAACTGTCAAACAGCACTCGAAATATTCTGATTTGTATTATTTCTAAAGAACATCCATTGGAGTGTAAGCATAATCAGATTAGAACTGATCAAGCAAGAAGTTAGCCAATAGAAATAAGGAAGCAAGGAGTTCAGTATTCCTGTAAAGAAATATTGTGGCTGGGTTTTGAACTCAGGGCCTCACACTTAGGTTCTACCGCTTGAGTCATTCCTCCAGTCCATGGATCTTTTTGATATGTATGTAGTCAAATTATTTCATGAACTCTTTTCTACTAAAGGGAGGCTTTCCACTTACATAATGAATTATTTTCATCCTCAATTTCTGTGCCTCACCTTTGTTTAAGTTTTCTTTATTCCCAAACCAATATAATTAAATTAAAAGATTTTCAAATTTTATATTGGGGGCAGTACTGGAGTTTGAATTCAGGGCTTCCTAGGCAGGCCCTCCACCCCTTGAGCCACACCTCCAGTCCATAAATTTAAAAATTCTTCCAGTCAATGATAGTCGTTCCCTTTTTTGGGGATGTCAAATATACTTAAACTATTCATAGGTCATATGTATCTGCTTTCAATTCTGATTCTAACATTTTGTAATGGATAGGTACAGAAGCTTTTGACATTTTATATTATGTAAATCTGACTTCTAGGTCCCAGGCTGAAGTTTATGATTCTTTCATTTGAATTACCCTGGAATTATGTAAGCTATTTTTGTATTTTATCAACTTTACAATTAAAAAAATCCACAGACATTTTTGTGGTGTTTGAAAGGACACTTCCTGTGTCTAGCTGAGTTAGTTGTGTTTTGAGCATGGCTCTCTGAGAAGCATTAACTACTTTTTTGCTCACCCATCTGATAGGATTTGTTATAATTCTTTCTTATGTGTAGTTGGGGAATATGGAAGAGAACTGGGTTTTTATTTCCACCCCATTTTAATAAAGTTACGTATATATCATTCTTATAAGCTAACTATGGTGCTGTTTTGACATAGTAGTCAAAATTATTAAAACTTTTGGGAAAGTTATTTGCCATTGGGGAAGGGGATGTTTGTTTTGAGTCTAATCTGTTGTATTTGGGAAGATTGGTTAAATTTAAGAAAATAAGAAGAATGTGATAGAACATCTAAGTTGTATTTATCCTGAAGAAGAGCTTGCTTTGATTTTTTTTTTCTCCTGCATCTGTGAATGGACCCTTCATAGGAATTTTAGAATTATTCTATAGAGATTTATATAATTTTAGAATTATATAAAAAAGGAGAGAGAATTATAAGTACATATTTTGTATCTTCTTGAGCAGGTGCGGGTCACTGTCTCTTAATGCCTGTGTTTTGCTTTTTGGCTGGTCCAAGAGCTAAGAGAGTGTGTATGTGAACACAGCCATCTGTGTGTAACCGATGACAAGCGTGTTTATAGTAGTAAAATGGTACTAGTACTTTACTTTTTTACCTTATATTTCCCTGGAGCTAAACAGCTGTGTAAACAAAAGATTTGCTGCGTTGCTGTAAAAAACCCTTGGGTCTGACTATTGATACAGTATTAAGATCCAAAGGTGCTGGGTTCATTTTCCATCATTATGTACTTATTTCAAGAGTTTGACACTGGAGAAGACCATAATATAATGGCTTATTATATTTTTGAGTTGTATGCTTTTAATATTCATCAAAAATAATAATGAATTTGGGATGTTGACTTGGTAAACACTTGTTCATATTAGTAAAGAATTATTCAATAATCCTATTGAAATTGACTCTGCTCCCTTTTCAAAATATGATTTGATGTTAAATTGAAATGTTAAGTATTTTTTTAAAACGGAATTTCCTGTCACTGAGATACATTAAAGAGTCTGTGTGTGTGGCAGTTGGTGACTCTCAGGCTGTGTTTTAAGCATTGAGATATAGCAGTGAATGAGCCAAGGTAGCTGCCCTCCTGGAGCTTGCCTTCTAGTGGTCAAGACAGACAAAGGTACAATGGAGAATAGTAACACAGGACAGAGGCCACAACGGATCAGATCTCCTGAAGCAAATGTCTTAAGAGTTAAAATCTCAGACTCATAGAGGCTGTAGAGGAAAGGAAGGCATCCAGGTCTACACAAAGGGACAGAGTTAGGTCAACCAACCCCCCTGAGTTATGTTGTTGGCTTCCTCTAGTACACAGGTAACCAACAGTGGCAAGCCCAAGTTCATATTTATTTAATTCAGTGAGTATCCTTTAAGGAAAGGCTTTAGGAACATAATGCTGTGCTGTATTTATTGGGAACCATCCTCAGCTCATATGTAGTTAATTTAATTTCTGTGACACTAAGAACAGGAATTTATGTTCTTGTCTTGGAAACAGACTCAAAAAAAAAAAAAAAAGGGCTGGCAGAATAGCTCAAGTGGTAGAGCGACTGCCTAGCAAGCATGAGGCCCTGGGTTCAAACCCCAGTACTACCAAAAAAAAGGAAAAGACTGACATTGGTACCAGAGAGATTAATAAAATAGTTTAGGCAGACTGAGGCAGGAGGATCTTGGATTTGAGGCCAGCCTGGGCTAAATATCAAGATCCTATCTCCAAAAATAAAAACATAAAATAAAATAAAATAAAAAATTAAGATTAAACTGAAAAGCAAAAAGGAATTGGTTAAATGAAGCTTCTGACTGTGTTCCAAGGTTAAGCAAGTCAAAGATTAATTAGATGAGATGAGTTTTTTAAATTGCGATAAAACATACATAATATAAATCTGCTATCTTAACCATTTTTAAGCATACAGTTCAGAAATGTTGTTTACCTTGTTATAGTGGCATCTCCAGAACTCTTTTTTCATCTTAGAAAGTCTTTCAAAATTCCCAAAGGTAGGACATTTTGATGATAGGAATGAAATGACAGGGTGTCAGTTTTTATTGAGCAAGATGGAAGGTGAGGGAGAGTCCTAGGGCATTCATCCTTTTTACTAAGACTTGATTTGATAGATCAAGTTTAATTTAACAGACCAGTATAGCAGTCTTTATCACTAGCCTTTGAAGGGTTTTGTAATGATTTTCTGCCTTACAAAAACCTCAAAGTTCATACCATGCTTCTTGAACAGGTAACTAAAGTTTGTCTACTTTGGGAATTGGTATTATTTTGAAAACTTTGTTGTCTTCCTTACTGATGATAAATAATCTTAAGCCTAGGAATTGAGTACAAAGGTATTTGTTATATTATGTCAGCTGTACACATAGTATTAGAGGTTTAGCAAATTCTTCCTTGGTTGGGAAAAGGAAGTAAAGCACCCTACTCATTTTTTTTCCCCTTTTTACTCAGTTCTATGTAATATCTTCCTGAGCATTGTGACTAATTTCCTTTGTTGAAAAGAAAATCAGCTCCAAATAAAATATCAAAGCATCTATGTGTTCAAGTAAATTAAACAATGTCCAGTGGTCTTTCGTAGCACATTTTTGAGACTTTTTTTTCTTGGTAAATAAGGTTTTTATTAAGTATTAGGTCCTGTTGAAGGAACAAACATAACTATGAGAAGTATAAGATAAAACATGCTTGACCTCAAGTCTCCTTGGGGCAATATGGCTGATAAGCATCAGGTGGAATATGCTAAAGGAACTTAAAAGAAATACAGTTATACAGTCTCTCTATATCTCTTTACAGGTCTTTTATGTAAAGCTGTTATCAAGTTTGTGTAGGCTGGGAACAAGTTTGAACAAATCTAGCATTGTATAATAGGTGTTAATTAAATACTTTAAGTGTAATGTTGAAGAAGAATTGCTACATTAGAACTCATGGTCACCTTTTAATGCATTGAACAGTTAATAGCTAAGTGGTGGCACATGCCTGTAATTCCACCACTCAGGAGCTTGAGACAGGAGGATTGAGTGTTCTAGGCTGGCCTGAACTGCATAATAAGTTTAAGATCAACCATGGCTACACAGCAAGACCCTGTCTTAAAAAACAAAAGAAAAACAAAAAGGCAGTCGTTGTTACTGAAGGATAAACAACATAATTACCTGTGGACATAAAAGATATATAATATCCATCTCTATCTCTAGAAACTCTGAATAAGATTAGATGTGGCTTAGGACCTGGACATGTGACCTTTTACGAAATAAAGCTCCATGAAGGAATATAATGAAAATGTCCATTTGCACTGAGAAAAACCAGCTTTATTGTGAGCCTCAACTGAAGTCAATTATTTCATTTAGTACCAAAATTGAAGGAAAAGCCATATATTGGGTTTAGTAAGAAATGTGGTGGAATAAACAATGTGCCCAAAGCTTTGTAGACTGAAATTTAAGGACAATTTAAGAAATTTTTTTTTAAAACAAGTAATTTGTTTTTGTTTTTATTTTATTTATGTATTTATTTATTTTAAAGAAGTAATTTGTTTTTATTATTTTATTTTATTTATTTTTATTTTTATTTTTTTTATCCCCCCCTTCCCCCTGCACAACTTAAGGAATTTTTAAGAGTAATGTTGACTGTAATATAATCTACCTAGTGAAATGCAAGTGCATATTTGTTACAAATGTTACCCAACTTAATCATGTGTCCTCTTATGCTTTGGTTATTTTACCATCTAATTCTTAATTTTTCCTTTCTAGAGATGAAGAAGCCACCAGTGGCCCCCAAGCCAAAGATTCAAGTGGCAAATAGTAAGCCACCTCCCCCTCCAATTGCACCTAAACCTGACCTTATGATTGCTAGTGTTCCACAATCAACAAAGAAAACCAAACCAGCAATTGCACCGAAACCAAAAGTTCTGAACTGCTTGCCTGTTCCAGACGTTCGGCAGTCACCATCAAGGAAAATCACTGTGAACCTGGAAGAGCAAAAACCAGAATTACCTGAAAACACTGGCAACCTTAATTGCAAACATGAAGGGGATTGGGGCGGCAATGATGTCTTACCAAGGTGCTCCTGCACTTCCAAGTACAACCAGAAGCCTGGGAATAGAGAGAACATGTGTGGAAAGCAGCTTATTTTAGAGCCTTTGGACATGAAAGACAACTTAGATAATAGTAAAATCGATGAGTCCTCTTTGTCTATAAAAAGTCAGAGTAAATGGGATTCTCATGGTGAAAAGCACAGGAGCCCCAGTGGAGTCGCTTCAAAGGCAGGTGTCCTTGAAGAGAAGCTCAGAGAAAGTTCAACGCAACAAGCATCAGCTTTTAGTGCCTTGCAGAAGCACAGATCCACAGACAACACAGAGGTGAATGGCACCTGCAATTCCAACAGACAAAGCAGAATTGAACTTATGGATTTGTCTCATTCCTTGTCCAGCTTTGAAAAAGTTCCTGCTCATCACAGCAGCCCCCTGCAACTTAGTAGGGATGAATTTCAAAATCGGGAAACTCTTCAGGACAACAGTGAAAAAAGCAATAGCTGCTTTCATTCCTCTAAACTAGACACTCTAGAAAATGGTAAAAAAGATTCTTTTACATCTTCAGATGAAGTTAGTAAGAAAACAGAACTCAAAGACTTTGGTCCCTTAGAAATTCACTTAATACCATATACTGTAAAATTTCCAACTCCCAAGGCCAGAAAGACACGCACTCCTGCTCGTCTGTTACGCCAAAAGCATGTAGATACCCCTAGTGAGAGTACTGAGGAACCTGAGAATTTAAGCAACAGCTCTTGTCTTATCCAAGATAGTTTGAAAAACAGTAAAGTCAGTTTTCTTCATCTGAATGTTGTCCATAACCAGGAACAAGTAGACAAAGCAAAGCTGGGAAATAAAAGTGACTTGAATAGTGACCCTAATGATGACAGACAAGACTTAGTCAATTCACAAAAAGCCACCTGTCATGAACCATCTTCCTTTGAAACAATGGCACCTTCTTTAAATACAGACTCCAATTTGGCTTGTGACAGCACGACTGTAGATGGTTCTATTGTATTACCTGCTGTGGACAAAGAGACCAGTTTTGTAAGATGTACTACTCTATCTTTAAGCCTGCCTAAACAGCTCAAATTAAACTGCACTGATCATCTGCCAACTGCCTGTAACCCAGGAGTGACTGTGAAAGAAAGTTCTTCAAGAATTGTCCCCAAAAAACCTCAAAGACACAGCTTGCCTGCTGCAGGAGTGCTTAAAAAGGCTGCCTCTGAGGAGCTGGTAGAGAAAAGTTCTTATCCCTCAACTGAAGAAACAGATTCAAGACAGGGTCTAGACATAACTCACCTGCAGCATCTGTGTGCCCCAAACCATAGTATGCCATCATCCTCCTTTGATGCACCTGGATCAACTTCAGAAAAGCCAGTGTGGAAATTACCTCGTCCTATTTTACCCTTTTTCGGGAACCCAGAATCCTTAAAGTCTGTCATTGTGTCGTCATATAGTGAGCCTTCCACTTCCCTAACCAAGCGTAGAGCGAAATCACTGTCTGCCATGGATATGGGGAGGTGCACAAAGCCTTGCAAAGATGCCCCAAAGAAAAATTCTTTCAAAAAGTTGCTCAATGTGAAACTGTCCCTCTGCTTGATGAAGAGTGATTTTCAGAAATTGTGGTCCAGGGGTAGCCAACTTGGAGATGCATCTGCAGGCAACCTGTCCAGTGGGGAGCAGAAAGGGATTGACTTGGTGGTAGAAGAGAAGAGAAGTAAACCCACCAAGGCGTATTCGGCAGATAACTACAGCCCCGAATCTCAAAAGAAGAGGAAGAAGTCTTGGGGCCAGACTGGTCCAGCTAATGGGCTGAGGACTGAATCTTTGGATGACCAGATGCTCTCTAGGGATTCCTCATTTCAGGCACCTTGCAAGACTGTTACAACCAGCTGTGCACCTGAGTATGAAAATATACGCCATTATGAGGAAATACCAGAGTATGAGAACTTGCCATTTATTTTGGCTAGAGGGAAAACTCCAGAGTTGGAATGGCAGAAGTCCAGCAGTGTGGAGGAAACTGATGCAAATGTGTATGAGATGGAAGAACCATATGAAGCTCCAGATGGCCAGATGCAACTTGAACCCAGACATCAGCACTCCAGGTAAGACACAGGGGCCAGACTCTGTACTTTTGTGTGCTTCTTTGCAAGTAGCCTTCAACAACCCTGTGAGATAGGAAGGGAGTGTTCACAACACTGAGTTAGAAAACAAAGATTAAAAATGCTTTCCACATACAGCCTCCTTTTATCATACTGTAGGACTTGGTGTCTGCATTGTGAGCTTGGAGTAGTTAACTTATCTTAGTAGCTGATTCAATGAGTTTGAATAGTTCCAGAGTAGGTACTATAAGGAAGCCTGGAACAGAGAAGTCCTAGGGCCTCCAAGTGCCAACACAGAAGTCATAGTAGGGAACCTTGGGCAGGAAATTGGTTAATTCAGTGGGGTTTACTTGCCAAGCACAGGAAATCTAATGTTATTAAAAATCCATGCATTCTTCTCCTTTGTCAAGTGAAATCCTTTTCAGGGATTTCTTATTTTACCTATTGAAGGCTAATTGCTGATCTCATGAGAATATAAGGAAAAATCAGGAAACATAACTAGTCTTTCTTTGATGTATGAACTTCCTACCTTTAGAATACGTACTGTACCCTGCTTCTGAAGTCTTGCCAATCTTCAGTGGCCCAGCTTATCAATCACTAGCTTCCTGAAGCTTTTATACTTCCTAACATAAACTCCCAATTACAGCCTTCATCTCAGTCTATCTTATGGTATAATGATATATTCATGTATCTGATGTTCTGTGTTCAGCTTTTAGCTCCGTGAAGAGTTCTAGTCATATCTTTTTATACTGCTTGAAGCCAAGGGGGCCTAGTAGGTGATCAGTAGATGTAAGATGGGGGTTGGAGAGTGAAGGAAACAGAGGCAAAGGAAATAAATACAAAACTCCTTCTGCTTCTCTGCATATTCACCAAGGAATGCATTGTATTTTCAGTGGATATTTTGTGGTTTTTGTTTTTTGTGGTACTGGGGTTTGTAAGCAGGGTCTTCACCTGGAGCCACTCCACCAGCCCTTTTTTGTGATCGGTTTTTCCAGATAGGGTCTCATGACCCTATCTGTTTGCCTGGGGTTAGCTTAGAACCACAATCCTCCTAATCTCTGCCTCCCTAGTAGCTAGGATAATAGGTGTGAGCCTCCAGTGCTTGATTGTATGTTTTGTGTTTAACAAAAAAGCACCAGACCCTTTTTGAAGTCTTCATATTATTCTTAGGCCACTGACATCATCCAGTCTTTGAGTACTCAAGTCTTAAAATGTGGTTTTTGTAGCAATACTAACATAGCCAATACATAGGAGGAGCTTTGAAAGGAGTGAAGGGGCATTAGTGTATGAATTGAATAAATAAAATTATCAAGCAACTTGGCACATCAAGTAAATTGAATTACTTTAACTTTCACATGTTCTCTTTATATTTTTTTATTCATCATCCTCTCTACCCTTCCTCCTTTTATATGTATATAAAAGGCTCCTCACCTCCGTTGCTCAAGTTTTCTCATCTCCTACCCATTCTGTTTACATTTGTCTACTCCCTAAGTAGGCAAATACCTCTTCCTTGGCACAGAATTTCAACAGAAAGTTGGAGTTAACTATTTAAAAAAATTGTTACTGAGTGCCAGTTTCTCACATCTAGAATCTAACTACTTGGGAGGCTGAGATCCGGAGGATCACAGTTTGAGGCCAGCCTAGGCAAATAGTTTGAGAGATCCCCATCTCCAAAAATAACCAGAGCAAAATGGACTGGAGGCATGGCTTGAGCTGTAGAGTGCCTGCTTTGCAAGATCGAAGCCCTGAGTTCAAACCCCAGTCCCACCAAAACAAAACAAAAAATATATATATACACAAAACACATATACACACCTATATATTATATGCATGGTGTTTTATCCATGGAATAAATGTATTGCTACTTTTGACATGCCCTTTATTACTATTTATGTGTGTGAATGTAATGAATTCAATTTTGCCTCTTTGAGATATACTGCTATCCTTGGTTAAGGTAAAATTTTTTCTTGAAATTGGAGGTTTGACTCTTGTGAAAGTATCTTGTTGGCCCTGGGGTTTAAATCTTAAGTGTTTACCACTGTCTCTGCCATAGGCTCTTTACTTCTGGAACTTGTTTTTGACTGACTTGGTTCTGATGCAATTAGGGTCCTGCTGCTGGCTTGAGGAGGACCAGGTTGAGAGGGGTTTATGTACACAGTCAGCCCGTGCAACTGGGCAGGCATTCATAAGGATCGTTCCTTCTACTAGCTGTCCCAGAAAACCAAGAGTGGCTTGGGACAGGTTGCAAGGTATCAAGTAGTGCAGCCTGGTGGAGGATAAAAGACCTGTGCTTTTGAATTTTGCCTTCTGCAGAGATTTTTATCCAGGCCATGAGCAAAGAACCTGGAACAGGCTTTGTGCCGGCTGAATCCAAAGCCTCAGAGTCAGTCTTCAAGGTATGGCCTGGGAGGTTGTTCTGGTTTTTGTTGTTGCTTTTGTAGCCCAGGCTAACCTGGGACTCTTGTGATCCTCCTGCTTCAGCTTCTTGAGTGCTGGGATTACAGTTATGGCCACATGCCCAGCTAGCTGGTGATTCCTTTTGCAAATAACATTGAATAATCAGAGAAAACAAAACAGCCCTTCACAAGGAGGATACCTGATGAATGAGAAGTGGGGCATACATTTCAGGTGACCTGAGGGGATCCAAATGGAAATACTGAGTGGTAGTCTATTTGCTGAAAATATAAACCTATGCCTTGGAATAATTAATTCAAAATCCAGCATCCTGACTAGGGCTCTAAAATGATAAGAAAAAATGCATATGAACCCTGTTAACATATTTCTGCTGGAGTCAACGGAGAGTGGCTTTAAGAACATCCCAGCCCTCAGGGAAGTGTGGGTCTTCTCTGGGGCCCTGACTCAGAATCAGTAGCTTCAGAGCTTTAGAGTTTATGTATTTAACCAAATTCTGGATAAGCAAACTGACATTTGGCAAGTTTAGGGGTAGCCTATACAGTCACCTTCTTTAGAATGTAGATGTTTCATAAATCCGATAGCCGAACACATCCAAATGTATAATGATGTATTTGTTATCAGGAAATAATGGTAGGCAGTTCCCAGTTCTAAATAGGATTGTGTTCTCAAAGTTCATGACAGTGTATTTCCCAAATAAACAGTTTGGGAAATGGAGATGAAGGTCCCAATTTAGCCTCCAAATTCTATTGACCTTTAATGTCTGGGCCTCGCCTTTCTGGCTCCAGGTGAATTTTCTGGGCCCTTCTGTGTGCTCCTGTGAGGTGCCAGGCCATACTGGGCTGGGGCACTGACAGGGGTGGGGTTGACCTCCTGAGATCTCTGAGGAGCAGATCCACTGGGCTGACTCAGTAGGGTTTGTGCAAAGGGTGAGGTGACTAATGAAGAATGAGGAAATTGGGGGCTGGGCTATCTGTGAGGAGCATAGGGAGTGATAAGGAAGAGGGAAGGGTGGGGTGGTTGGAAGTTAGTAGGCAAAGGATTTCTTGACCTCCTTTTCTGGTACAATTCCTGTTCCTCCTTTCTGTCCTCCCCATTCTCCTTTGCTAACTGCATGAGTCTGCTTTTCTGATCCCAGGAATAGGATGTAGAAGAGACTGGGGGAGTAGTAAGTGGGGTGGGGAGGATGTAAGGAGAAGCCCTGGGAGCCCCTGAGTGGGGAAGGCTGAACAGCCAAATCTGAAGGTGATGGAGGGTGGGAAGGAGTTTCCACGGCCACAGAAACAGAAATGATGGTGTACAAAGATAGGTCACCATCTTATTCACTGCTCTTGAACTCTCAAAAGCACTTTTGTTGAAAGTGGGATTATGAGCTGCCCTGGAGTATTCCTATGTGTCTGGGGTACAGTTTAAAGACCTCTTCCACGAAATGTTACAGATATAATCAACCTGAACTTGCAGGCAACAGTACTTCCTTTCACTGGTGTACAGGTGATGAGTTTTCATTTAAGACTACTTTTATTCAAGAAGTATGATTTTCATAGGGAAGTTAATAGGTTTTGGACCATTGATGTTAAATAGTTATAGACAAATTGAGAAAATAATAGTGTATAAATGTTGGAATTTTCCTTTTGAAATCCAGGCAGATTTCTTGGTTATATGAAGAAGAAACATTTCAGGTTTTTTCTGGGTTGTTTTGATTTTTTTTTTAACATTTTTATTAGTATATATTAGTTGTACAGGGGGACTTCATTGTGACATTTCCATATATGCTTATAATGTACCTTAGTTAGATTCATCCCCTCCATTGCTTTGTTTTTCTGATAAGCACTTTAAAAAAAAAAAAAGTATGGTAATTGGGTTTTCCTAGGTAGCCTACCAAACCCTAAATTTGTCCATTCCACAGATAATGACCATGTGTCAAGCACTGTTCATTCAAAGGTGGGCAGGGCTGTCTATTCTGCCCAGTAAAGCAACAGACAATTACAGCACAGCATGGTTCTGTTAATCCAAGCTTTGTCTGAATTGTACTTGTATGAGTTGTACACAAGCAGGATATTAAAGACAACCTTGGGCTGGGGGTGTGACTCATTGATAGAGCACTTGCCTAGCATGCAGGAGGCACTGGATTCCATCCCCAGCACTGCAAAAATTAAACAAAACCAACAAAAAAGTCAGCCTCACAGAGGTGGTAACATTTGAGCCAAGATTTTTTAAATGGATGAGATTAGATTTGGCATTCAGTTTGTCTTTTAACTGTGGAAAGTGGTCCTCAGGAGGGAGGAGCCAGATTGCAGAATGAGATGAACTAAGAAGAAAAAAAGTAGAATCAGAAATGTAAATTGCTGATCCTTGAAACTGTGCCCAGAAATCTCTAACTCTTCACAGGTTTGCATTTATATTTTGGCCTTCAGTAAACAATTCAAATAAGTAGACTTCAAAATCCTTTCTTTTTCGTTGATCCATATACCCTTAAATCTTACAAAGGTTAAATACCAAGTTTTTTTGTTTGCATCTCCCCCATGTTAAACATGGCTTAATGTGCTGCCCGGTGGCTTTACAAGTCTTGTCAAGTACGGCGAGGACATTGG